TTTTTTTCAATAAGAACTTCTTTTTGTTTGTTATCCCAAACACCCCCTAAGCTTTACAAAAAACAAAACAGGTTGCCTCTTGTCCTTTCATCATCCATCTGATTCTTCCCCAGATTAAAACCAGTCTTGAGTGAACCAAGAGTGTCAGTGACCAAAAATGAGTATGAGAACTTGTGGTCTATGAGTCTGTGGACATTGGAAATACAAGTGATTCCAGAGGGGAAAACAACACATGTTGAGGACTCAAAAACCATATTTTGGGGGTTACTTCAGTGTAGTTTTATTCTGGCTCTGAGGCCTGAGTTGCCATGAGCGTCATCGGTGGAGATCCAAGGAAACCAAGTTTCATGAGCCAGGGCAAAATCTCCTCACTCCAAGGTGGAACTACCACTTTGGAGGAAATCAATTCAAAAACACATTGCTAATCTGAACCTAAATGCAGGTCTACATGCATCCTAAGTGAACCTTTGATTCAAAAGCACAGGATAAAAATTAAAAGTTTGCAGATTGCGCTAATTACAATATTTCTAATTTTTTCAACCTCAAAGCACTGAGGCTGGTAATCTTAAAAATATCCCTTCAATATCACAACAGCTGTGTGCACTGTGTGTACCACTATGGGAACAGTAGAGCTAAAATATTAACTGAGAGCCTGAATCTTGGAATATCCTGAGTTGGAGGGGACCCACAAGAATCAGAGTCCAACTCCCAGCCCCTGTGCCTTGAGGGCGTTGTCCAAACACTCCTTGAATTTTGTCAGGGTTGGTGCTGTGATCATTTCCCCAGGGAGGCTGTGCCAGTGCCCAAACACACCCTGAGTGAAGAATTTTCTAAAATCCAACATAAACCTGCCCTGACTCAGCTTCAGGCCATGCCCTCAGGTCGTGTCATTGGTCAGCAGAGAGGAGACATCATTCCTGCCACTGCACGTCCCCTTTGGGTGAGGAAGCTCTGTACACTGCTATGAGGCCTCTCCTCAGGCTCTTCCTCTGCAGGCTGGGTAAATCAAGGTGAGAAGGTTGAAAAATAATACATAGGATGTCTTGATTCAAGTCTCATTGCATTGCTCATTAGGAATCTTTCCATTGATTTCAGTGGAGTTTTGCTTGGTGTAAAATGCAGCTGCAACAGACACAGCAGCACAGCAACTGATTACTCACTCAAATTCCCAAAAGGAATTTTCCCCTGCAAAAAGACCACAAGATTTGACCCCACTAATGACTTCCCTGGTGTTCTCTGCACAATATAGATTACCAAAGTGGAGCCCTGACTCAGAGGGTTTTCCTGCTCCAACCTGCCCATCATCAGCTCTTCCCTGCAATCCCAGCAGTGAAGAAAGACAGAGTGGCCATTCACAAGGTGTTTGCCCAAGAACAACAGTTCTCAGCCTGTTCTGTAAGCCAGATTTTAGCCATCAGAGGGAAGAAAAGAAGGAATAAAAGTCCACCCAAGCAAACAAAACAAAATAAATGTAAAACATAAGCACAAACACACAAACAAAACCCTTCAAGACACTAACATTTGCTCAAAGAGAATATAATTAAAAAAAAAAAAATTAATTGAGAAATTGGTAGAACACTAATGTTACTTTAGCATCTTATGTGGTAGTTGGGGGGATGTGATCTTAGGGATTCTGTTCATCCTCCTCCTGACATTGAAATATAAGATAATTGATGTAAGAAGTCTCTAGACAAAATGTATATATTTCCTAGCGTATATGCAGACAGACTGTCTCCATTTGTGTCCTTTACAGGATGCTCATTCTCTGGGCTGGCCCCAATCCTGCTTCATTTCACTCAATGCCCCTAAGACCTGTGAAACAACATCAGAAGGAAACTGCAAGAAGGTATTTCAAGAACTTTTGAGGAAAAAAGAGTTAAAGAGAGAAACTCAGGAGCCAGTTCATCTAAAGCAAATGGAAAAAAAAATGCTGACTGCAAAATTCTGCCATGCAAATCCTCCTCTAATTTTTTGCCATTGTTGAGGTCCTGGAATCAATATTTTAGTCCAACTGCAATCTGGTGATGAGCAAAAGGAGGGAAAGGTTGTAGCATTGCGAATTAAAAAATAATAATCTCTCAAGCTTAATATCAGCAAAGATGATTATTTCCTTTGATTTGTCAGGCTAATTGAAAATAGCTTTATAGTTCACAGCTGATTAATTAGGAGCCAACAAGATCTCCATTTGCATCTCGGTAATTCTTCACTCTGTTTTATTTCAACATTCAGTCTTTATGCTTAAAATATTCATTGAGAAAGCAGAAAGGTGATTAACATAAGATTTTAAATGTGTACCATTTGTTCTGACTTTTTTTTTTTACACACATTTTTGTCAACAGAGAAGAAAGGAAAGAATATACAACATCACAAAACCATTACTGCCTGTTCCGCTTCCATCTGCCAAATCCTCCTTTATGGTCAAAATACTTTAACCAAGTTCATTTTGAAACAGGGGAGAAAGAGCCCAAGTAAAGGTCAACCCTCTGCCCTGCCTCCCCCATTCCCAAAACACCAACTATCTGTATCTGTATAATAATCCTGAAAGTTTTGAAGTGTTTTATTCCTTACATGAAAAACCCTCTCTGGTGTGCGCCACCCTGCAGCAGCAGATCAGACCATGCCACTGTTACCCCCCCTCCAAACATCACCCGAGAGAAAGTGGGTTCAAACAGCTGTGACAGATATGATGACATTTTTCCATCCACCTGGCACTGAAAGGCAGGGGTACACATATTTCTGGGTGAAATATTTAACTCAGCATTAAAAATACAAAAAATAATTTGCAGGTCATGTCTGTTGAGGTTTTCTACATTTGGGGGTTGTATTTTTGTTTGGGATTTTTCAAGCGTTTTCTCACAGCCTTGGTAACCTCTGCCTTATCACACTGAGCTTAAATCTCCAGCAAATGGAGTGGCTTGATAAGAAGTTTAACCCATCATTTGGAAGGTGAATTCCCAATCCTTGTGATAGTATAAAGAAGCTGGATGAGTAAACTCTGAGAACTAAAAGAGGGATGGATTCCTAAGGATTAAATCACCAGAAATGAACAATAAGAAATGAAACTCTGCTGTTATCAATAGTAATATTAATTAAAATTGCACTGTTTCAAAGAGAGTTCCTGCAGGACCAGACTGGCTAATGGCCTTTGAATTTTTGTGAATTTTCTTCTCTCATCAAATCCAGCTCTCCATAATAGATTCTGCCCACCCTTCCAAGAGAAGGGCAGATCTGCTCCATCCTGATTTCACATCAAGATCTCGACTGTCTCTTTTTTGTTCTATCACTGAGTACCCAATGAGACAGAGCTGAATGTGCGTTCCCAGCTCCTGTCCCAAACCTTTGCTTTTTTCTAAAGCAACCACGATCATAAGGACCCTGTTGTACCTTTTTCACTTATCCCAGCCCCAAATTGTCCTCAACACCAGTTTGGTCATGGTTTCTTGAGACCCAAAAGGACCCATCCCACCTGGGAGCCCGAAATCACGCAGGGGCAGCAGCTGGGCTGGGACAGGGACAGGGACACAAGGGACAGGGAGCACACACCGGACAGTGGGGTTACACTAACATGCAGTCCATTTATTTTTGAGGGGTTTTTTTTTTTCCTCCTTTGTTCTGTGATTTATCTTTTTTTTTTATCATCAAGCCACTGCAAACATTGCTTTGGCTGTCAGCATGAGCGCACAGACAGACATTCCCGTACCCGTGGTCACTATGTCATAAATACCATCCAAACAAATGCTAAGAAAAATTAATAAAGAAAGAAAAATATTCCTTTCCCCACCCCCAAGCACAAAACACTGTTAAGTCAACAGAATTTAATCTAGTTTATTCTCCAAAAAAAAAAAAAAAAGAGGAAAAAATATGAAAACAAAAAAAAAAACAAAAAAAAAAAGAGCAGGTCTTATCACTAGCAGTAAATAAATTTATACAACCATTCAGTCTGTATAATAGGATGAAATAAATCTACATCTTTCTTATTTTGGTGCGTTGAATTATACATACAAACAACAATTACAGGAACTTGTTCACAATGCGTAGAGACCTGGAGAATGGCTATCTGAAACCCCCTTGTTGGCAATGTCCGCATGTTAACACTGATTGCCTGACACCATTGGTACTTCCTATGCAAAGGGCCCGTGGCCCAAAATGAATGACCTCCCTACAGGTTTTATTTATTTAGTTATTTAGTTAGTTAGTTAGTTAATGCATCATCAAAACCGTTCTAGCCAGCCCCCTCCCCCTCCCCGGAAACAGAAAAACAAAAAAAGAAACCAAAATAAAAACCAACCAAAACAAAAAACCAAAATAAAAATAAAATAAAAGGAGAAGACATGACTGGCAGTTGGTCCATTTGTTCATAAGACCGCGTTTCCTCTTGGTCTGCATTGTTTGTTTTTCTGGTTTTTAAATTGTCCTCCCATCTTCTTTTTTTTTTTTCTTTTCCTTTAAAAAAAATTCTCTTTCGGAGTCCTTCATGCCTTTTTCTTTACAGCTCCTCAGATGCGATAAAGTCTTCCTCAAATGTACAGTATTTCTTACAATATAAGTTATATGCAATGTTCAGCATTTTTTATTTTATTTTATTTTATTTTTTTCACAGCACTAGAGATCCTGTCCAATAGGGAATGCAAGTTCTGAATGGCTTATTCACAAATGGTATCCAGATTCAGTGGGTAAGAATACATAGATGCCATAGTGAGTTCCTTTAAAAAGTGGCAAACATCACTTTTTTAAAACTTTTTTTTTTTAACTTTTTTCTTTTTTTTCTTTTTTTTTTCCTTTTTTTGTGCTTTTTGTAGTTTTTTTCTGCATTTTTAATTTTTTTTTCTTTTCCTCTCTTACGCCTTCAAATAACCTTTTTTTTTTTCTATTTTTTTTTTTTAACTCTTTTTTTTTTTTTTCCCCTCTCCCATTTGATTCGGGACGTCGGACCCATAACCACACGCCTGCAAAAATGCAAGTAGTATATAAAGTAAATCTCATTTTGAGACTGTAAGCATTCAGCAGGGGAGCTCTCTTGCTAACCCATGGCAGTGACCATGCTGGAGGGGTGGTGAGGTCCGAAGGAGAGGCTGGATGGAGGATGCATCGGTGTCGGTGTGGTCAGCATGTGGCTGGAGTGGCTGAAGGGTGAAATGTGGCTGATGGAGGACATGTGTCTGGAGAGGGCTGCAGGGTTAAAGGAGCTGCTCTTGGGAAAGTCTTCGAGGTTGTCATGGACCTTTTTGCACTTTTTGGATTTGCTAGACATCTTTCGGTTTCTGGTCTGAATTCCTTCCTTCTTCATAGTCAGGGGTCTGTTAATCTAAACAAAAATCAATTATTTTTTTTTGTGCTTCCATCCCTTCTCCCCAAATCACCGTGGGATCTGAGTACCCCATGCCCCAGTCCAGCAGGACCAGCTGGTCACAGCCCCCTTCCTCCCCTGTACACACCATGTGCTACCCAACCTCTCCATTTCCATCCCAAAATTCAGATCCCTCCAGGAAATCCCAAGCTCAGTTGAAATTTCTGAAGACAAGATGACAGAAAATTGCTGGCAGAGCCACACAGGAGCAAAACATACCCGAATAATTCATAGCAGCTGAAAAATTTCAACTATCTGCACATTAGGTAATTGCATTGTGTTTAGGTATGAAACCAATCATTACCTCCTGGAAATATTCCCCACAGACACCGTCTCACCCTGAGGCTTCCTGTCTGATCTAAAACCATTAGCAGCAAGAACTGCTGGGATTTCAGTGCTGTGAGGGGTCTCAGGCTTTCACAGCTCCATTAGGAAGCTGGGCAACTCTCCACAAAAGGCACGGGGTTTTGTCTTGTTTTTCTTCTTACCAAAGATTTTGCTCTGATCATCCTTTCTGGTTTTCTTTAGCTAATCTGGTTTTATTTCTAAAGGCTTCCAGGTTTTTTTTAGGGAGGCTGAAACAAGTATCTGTGCTGACCAGCAAAGCATTTTCTGCATGCATACAAATGTATCTGTAGGTGAAATAAACATTAAATTCTCCTCCTGAAACTACACAGCAGAAATGATCATCCATGTATTCATCAGGGTTAGGAAATGGTAGCAAAAGTTCTGTTGGATACCCTCTAAGAAATTCTTATTATTCTTATTACTTGAAGCTGTCCTGTTCAGGGCCAGGGGTTGGACTTTGATGATTCTAGTGGGTCTCTTCCAACTCAGAATATTCCATGATTTTGTGATTCTGTACTGCATAGAGAGCCAGCATCACAACATGGCACAGGTGACATGAAACTCCCACAAACCACACTGGGGAAGGGATTTATGCCTCCAATGTCCCTAAACAAACTAAAAAATCTGTGTTTGAGAATGAAAATGGGTCTTGCTCTGGCTCCTCTGTAGGATTTCACCTGTAGCAGAATGCAGCAAATCACCCTGAGGCTGAACCATTTCTCATAATAAATGTGAGCACATGATGGTGCTGATGGACATTCTGCAAAAGGGAGAAAAAATGGGTCCACCGTCCACCAGGATCTACTGTAGAGGACAATGAAAAGATGTTCCTGCAAAGGTCCTGAGCAACTCTGTGTCCATAAGACCTTAAATCAGTACAAGGAACAAAGCATTCCCCCCTTCCAGATCACAGCAAAGTTTCACTTGTTGCTCCTCAGCCCCTTTCTGGTCCCTTTCCACAGCATGAGCATCATTCCTGGATTTCTCTCCCCAGGGAGGCCAGGATAAAATAACTCCCTGTTACATGCAAGGATGGAATTATGGGGAGAAGGACCTGGCTCATCTCTGGTTTGTCATTCCAGTCTTTGTGACCCCAGGCTCTTTTTACCAGCAGTGACAGCAGCCTTCACCTCACCTAAAAATGGGTGAATAAAAGGCTAATTCCTCTGCCTCTGGATAAAGGGAGATAGAGAGAGCAGCCCTGCTTGCCAACAGCTAAAGGTAGGAAATATCTACTCATGAGCAGCCCAACAAAAGCCCTGTGGCAGCAACAAGCAGAATTTAAAATATTGTGGGTTCCAAACACAACATAACCCACTTCCCTGACTTTCTATCCTCACTGAGGGAATGAGGATGCACACACAAGGATGGCCCTTTGCTCCGAATAAATGACTGGGATTGGGAAGCTTTGCCTGGCCTGTTTTAAGTTTTTAGCAGGGAGGTGTTGCCCAGGTTCAAAGCCAGGGAGAAGTCCCAGGTGAGTCCCACCAGGCAGCAACATCAGAGGAGGCCAGGGAGCGCCAATCCCTGACAAATCCAGCTCAGGTTTGGGGAGGCACACACAGCCCCTGCCCCACCAGCTTCAAATGAGGATCTGTATCACTACACAAGGGCTCAGGGGCAGCCAGAACCAATCTCCAGTTGAAGCAGCAAAGTTTCAAGCTTGGCAGCTGGTTGTGGCAAAGTGACATAAGCCTGGTGGTGGGACTGGGGCTGTTCTGGGTCATGGAACAAGCACAGGGTCCTGACCCTTGCCTGGTGTCATGTCCCACAGGACAGTGAACACTTTCCCAAAGCAGCATCCCTCCTGTTTCACTCAGTCTCTAAGAACAGGATGGCCCAGGCCACGATTTGATGTGAAACTCAAGGGTGGGAGCACCAGCTCTGTGTCAGGATGGTGACAAAGCCGTGGCCAGCCCCACAGCTGGGGACGGAGCTGCCATCCACGCTGTTGTCTGGCCACATCATCCCACTGTAAATGGTCTCACACTCCAAGCAGGTAACTAACCCGAGAGCCAAACAGATAAATTCTCAGATAAATGTCAGGAACCAGCACAATCAAAGCAGCAAGCTGGAAATTTTTTCCAGTGACTTCAAAGACCAGTCACAGCAGGGTAAAAGTGGTCCCCAAAACATCAAAGCCAAGGACCCATCTCTGTTTCTGGGGTAGAGAAATGAAAGACCCAGAGGGAAGACCTTCTCCGTGAAAATTCATTCTGATAAAAATGACAAACACATGCTAAATTAAAATTAAACCAGCCCAACGCATGTATATGAAATTCATTAATTTCAGATGGAGCCAATTAATTATGGGCAGGAATTATGCTCTTTGTTTTATCATATGCAAAATACTGACTGCTCTGCTCTCGGGACACATAGGCCTGCTTTGGGGTATTGTGAAAGGGGCCTTTTCTGATGAATTTTACCAAAAATAATGGCAAATCACTCACTTCTACAGGCTCAGGCCAGCCCAATGTGCACCTCCAGCAAGGTACACTCCCACCCATCCCTGAAGTGTGCAAAGGCTCATCCCATTTCTAAGGACTAAAATAACAAGGATGAGAACCTCGTATTCAACAGATCAAATCCAGGGGATAGTCTTAACCATTATAGGCCTGATCTTGCTCTGACTGAAGACAATGGGATTTTGCCATTGACCTCAATAAGGTCCTGTCACTGAAGTGGATTTATCCTTCAGACATAGTCATTACAACGTTGGGTTAATCTTCCAGGCTGGCTGTATCTTAGAAAGCACTCTGGGATGCCACGGGATGAAAGGCACCGTATCAATGTGAAATATTAGTCATTGTTAACACTGGTGTTAATGGAGCCGGCTCTTGTTGAAGTCAGTGGGAGGAATGCCAACAGCTTCACTAAATGCACCCCAAGACTATTATGATTATTGCTTATATCCTACTGACAAATGGGTTTGCTTAAGCTGTGGGAATCAACAGTAAAACAAACTGATATAGCTCCATGAAAAAATTAACACCGTGGAAAAAAAAATTCGCCTTTTCACTGCAATCGCTCCCGGTGTGGACATAAAATCTGGGTAAATTTCAACTGCAGATCAATCCATTAAAATATCCTAATGAAGTTAAGGTACCAGAAAATTTCATTAAACCCAAAGAAAAGAAAAAATGGGGAGTGGGGGTGGATAAAACAGCAGACAGGAATTTGCTACAGCCTAGCCTGAAACAGGGTTAAGTCGACTTCCAAGCATCCAAAGACCTTCCACTGGCACAACATCCATGCTGACAGCTGCTGGGGAGGGACATGCTACAATCAGCCTCTCTATTTCTGACCCCTCTCCTGATGGAAATCACAAGATAATATACACACAGGGGGCAAGACCACACTTCTCACCACGGTCATGACTAAATACTTTAGTAAATACTTCACTAAATAATTTGCTAAGTACCTTAGGAAAATTTTTAAAAAAAAGATCTACCCACTCATATCTGGATTTTAGTATCCTTGCCTGGTTATTTTGCTGCACACAGGAGCTCAGTCCTCTGGGGGTTTCATTTAAGCAGGATCCATTAATGGCGTTGCTCATAAGGCAAGATACTACTTGACTTTGGTAAGTAGCTGTGCTGAGCTTTTAAGCAGCTGTTGGTGTTTTTAATGAATATGAAAATGGTTCCAATGTGCTCAAGGCCTGCCCCATGTCACAGATTTCACAGCTGGATCGGCGTTTCCCTAAACACTGGATCTAGAGGTCAATTCAGGCCAAACAGGTTTGCAGTGTTAGTGCAAAAAAAATAAAAGGAGGTGCTCTTGCAGGCACATTTCTGAAGAACCTCAGCACTCAGACATCATTCTAAACACTTCAGGAGGAGATTTCTCCAGTCAGATGTCTACAATGGAACCAGGCACATCGTAACTCACCATCCTGCCATCTTTTGCAGGCATGGGGAGGAACTACACTGTCTTCAAGGGTAGAAGTCACCCCAATATAACACAAGCATCCACCAGCACCAACTGAGAAGAGCCTATTTCCTTCAAAGAGCTTTGCTGGCTACAGGAGGAGCAGCTCCTTAGAGGTTTCCAAAACTTCCTGATTTAAGTCCTACCACTGGTGACTACAAGGCCAAAATGGAAACAGCACAAGCATAGATCCCCGCACAGTGAAGCTTTCTGACCTTGATCCCTTCTTGCCAAGGAAATAGCAAACAGAATATTTTCTCGTGATATTCTGAGAGTTTTCACTCTGGGTCCAACCCAGGGTGTTTGCAGTGATCACACTGAGAGTTTGATGACAAGCTTTACTTGCTACATCAGACTCAAAGCGTGCTGAGACACCTGCCCACTAAAAGGTAAACGCATTTTCCTTTTTTCCAAGAGAGATGCCTCCCATGAAACAGGTGAAAAATTAGCCTGGTTGTTTGTTGGGGTGTCTTTTCTACTTAATCCAAACTTGTTTACTCATCCTAAGAAACCAAACTCTTTGAAATAACAAATGGAAGGGACTGATACCACAAGGGTTGGACGCCCCATGAAACCCGATACGTCTTTGATGTGTTTCCATGGGTGGACACAAGGGCAAAACACAGCCCCAGATTTCCAAACCAAACACAAAGCCATCAACCACTAGTGGAAAAAAAAGTATATCAAAGCAGAGAAATTGGAAGTCTTTTCCTTCTTTTGACATAATAATTATTCTAATGCCACAAGTGGAATGAGAGGAACAGGAGTAGCCTTAAGTCTCCTTTATTAGCAGTATTATTCAGTAGAAGACTTTTCAGGCCCCTTTAGCTCTTTCCCTGGGGCACATATCCCTGGTTCCTGCAAGCTGGCTTTGCATGGAGATATTAGATTAAATCTGCCAGCCATTACATTTCATTTCATTTCATTTCATTTCTCCTTCCCTTCCATGACAGTTGCTTTGAAATTCACATCACAGGTTGAGCAGACTCTGCAACCCGCTAACTAAATCAAGCCCTTTTTTGGTTTGGGACTCGTTTGCATCAACCAGCACAAACACAGGGCCTAAATAAATCATCTTTGGGGACAGGACAAAGGCAGCCACAAACCCAAGAATGATCTAAATAGTTTCTGGCACGTATTTCTTTTTTTTCCAGAGTTTGTATTTGCTGGAGGAACCAAGCTACGCATAGGAGGGGTATCGGCTTGCAGGACAGTGTGTTGTCTTTTCCAACTCTCTGAGCCCAATCAGCAACAGATAATGTCTCTCTGTGTTGACCCACCCCTCCTTTCTTGGCTCAAGCAAGGAAAAGCTCTAACAATACCCATGGACAGCCTTGTTTTATACCTCCCCAAGTCAGATAGGATGCGTTTGAAAGTCTGACGGCTCATCGCTCCAAACCCCAAGGTCCCCAAAGGGATAACAGAGGTCTCGGCACCACCCGAGACTGGAAATCCTCAAGTTAAGGAAGAGTTTGGATCATTGAGCACCAAAGCTGAGGCCCCATTTTTGAGTATTCCAGTCACACTTACATTGTGCAGCTTGTAGTAGAGCCCACAGGCATTACAGACGGGATCGCCGTTGGCATTTCTCCTCCACAGGGTGGTAGTGGTGGTCTGACAGTTTGCACAGGACGTGCCCGCCCTCCTGGCTGCAGACTGTGGGAAGGAGGGAAAGAGGAGGAGAGGAAGAGAAAAACACCCGTGTTAAAAAAAAATAAAAAAATGTGATCAGCAAAATTTCTGAGAAAGAAAACATCAACCCTGCAAGACTGACGCGCATCAGCAGAGGCTTCCAGAAACTGACTTGTGAGAACAAATAATAATTGTGAAAAAAAATCCCCAAGGTACTTTAATCCCAAATTATATGTGAACTGAATCAGGTGCCAAAGGGCATCCTAAAAGTGAGTGCTAAACCTGTGATAGAACTCATCAAAATTAGCAGCGCTGGCACAGCCCATTCCAGAGGGGAAAATGTTATTTAAATGCCAACATGTTTTTCCATCTTAATTCTCCCAGACCCCCCAGGGGTCTAATTCTGCAGTCAGGGCCTGAACTGACAATTGCTGGAGTCAAGGGCGTGAGTCACTCCGGCTCCAGCAAGAGACCAGGGTGGGCAGCTGCTCGCCGGGCCCGACCGCAAGCGCAGCCCGGTCCCGTAAGCTCAGCTCAGCTTCAAAGGAGACAGGCTCCAGATCGGAAATAACACCGTGGCAAGGAGCAAGAATCCCAACTTTTTAATTACACCCTTTTCTCAGCCCAAACCTTCATGTTTATTTAAGGATTGGTAACAAGCCTGAAAGAAGAATTTACCGTTTCATAAAGGGGTAGGAACAAGAAAAAAATCTACGTGGCAAAGTGTATACGGAAGATTTTTTTGTTAGCTGTGATAATGACTTAGCAAAGTCAAATTTAGTAAAGTTGCTCTTCTTTCACATGCATAAATTCGTACTTATCATTTAAAAACTGTAACTTTAGCAAACAAATTGTGCTTCTGCCTCTGAAGGAGGAACAGGAGCTTTCAGACTGCTGTGTGAGCGCGTATGTGTGCTTGCCTGTGCGCAAATGCCTACAGCTCCTAAAAAAAAAAAGACCTTTAGATCCCCATCCTATCTATTCTTCATCAATATGACATGGTCCCAGAGCTCTGATTTCATCCCGATGCGTTGCTTTCAATGGAACTGCTCATGTGCTTAAAGTTAAAACATGTGCTTAAGCGATTTGCCAGATCATAGCAATGCTTGGCACCTTGCAGAACTGAGCCTTTAATGCTCTCTTTTGTGCTCTTACTGTTTCAAATTTACCCCTCACCCCACACAGCCGCACACTGTAGCACATCCAACATTTAAAAAAAAAAGAAAGAAAGAAAATACCGCATCTTTGGATACCGTACAACAAACCCAAAATGCAAACATGGACACTGGCACAGCCTTAGCATTAATACCAGCTCTTGTTAGGTCATGTTGCAATTTTAATCATAATTGAATGCGGCGTAGGTGGAGAGAGGACGGGTTGGTTTTGCTTTAGATAGGGGAGGATTTTTTTTTTCATTTAATTAGACAAAAAGGACTGTCTAAAAAATAAATAAGACAATGCCCATGAGCACTAGGAAGCATCACAGAGTGGCTGATCCGACAGCGAGTGGCTCTCTCAGGCTGCCTGTAGGGATAGTTCCATTTTTCTTGACCATAAACCACTCTGAACCAAGCCAGTCCCAAGAAGACCTTTAGCTGACTTCTCTGTGCTGGTGACAAGCAGGAGTTGGGGGCAGTGCATGGGACTTGAAAAAATCCCAGGGCCAGCAGAGAAGATGAAACATCCCACCATGAAGAGCAGAGCCCTGAACTGATGTGCGCGCACGCTGACCACGCCATGGACCCAAACTGGGCTGCCTTCAAAATCACCAGGATAATTAAATGATGAATGTGTTCCAAAGGCAGCAAGGAGACAAAAATGGAGCTTGTAAAGCCAGGTTCTCACTAAAGAGCTGAAGAAGAGTCTGTAGCTCTCTGCCCCCCAACTCCTGACACTCGGCGCGCGGGGCTTGGAGGGGCACGAGGCTGGATTGAATCTCTTGGTGGCAGCTTTGCCTTTATCAGACCCAAAAATCAAGCCTAAGGAAATTTCTAAAAACCAGTGATATTTGGCTCAGCCCACACAGGGGAAACATCCCCTTTGAAGATATTTGGGGTTTCTACGCAGCGCTCGCCGTAATTTCTCCTACAGCAAGTGCGTTCAAAAGACACGCCTGGTCACCACCTCGCCGCCTTCAAACAAATTCTGACATTAAATAAGCAAATAAATCACAACATCTACTGTCTTCTCTTAAACTATTTCCACCTACTGTGTTTCACTTGCAAAAATTCAGCATCATTAGCTGAGTATTTTAAGCTCTTTCGGTCCCAGGCTGCACCTTTTATGCTGTACCAACTTCTACCGGAGACACGGGCAGCGGGCAGGAAACAATGAATAATAACGCTATTGTAAAGCTCCCAGCAATGGCATCCACTGACGCTCATCAGCGACTAGGGGCCTGGCCATGGCAGTCATGGGATGACTAATTAGCTGCCCCATATCATCCACAGGACCACAGCCCATGGCACAGCTGCTGGTGAGCAAAGGAACAACTTCAGAAGCTCTAACAGTGATGAAAAGGTGAAATTGAGGAGGTTGGAGGAACCAAGTGTTAATAAAGATGCTTAATTAAGGGGCATTTTCAGTGTCTGCATTTACCCACAAAGCTCCAAGCATCATTTTCCTAAAATAAGATTGCATGTGCATGGGCCTGCTGAGAAATTGGTTATAATCCTTCCAAAACCAGCTTGGCTTGACGTGGAAACTGAGAGCTCTGCATCTGCATGGGAATGGGAGAAAAACTAAAGGAAGATTTTATCTCAGCAGCAATGGGGCTGCCACTGCCTGTGACAGGGACAGGAATGGCCTCCAGGAGGGCTGAAGAATTTTTAGGCAGCGATGGTGTGGTACCACCTGCCTGTTCAGGATTCCCCTGCCAACATCTCCAGGTCTTCCACCTTCCCCCTCGAGATGAAGCAGAGCTGCCTGAGCCCCCTCAGCCAGCAAGACTTCATCCCTGTCACCTAAAGTACACCTCACGAAGACACCCATTGAATTTAACAAGGCTTGGGCAGGGTTCTCATCATCTAAGAATTTCTTTGCCTCCTCTCTCCCACCCATCAAATCCTATCATCAGTTTCAGTGCAGCTGTGATCAGAGCCTATGAAACCAGCCCGAGGTCACGCAGGAACCTTGTGGCAGAGGGAAGGAGCTGGATCCCCACCCTGAGCCTCCATCCACAGCCCGCCTGCCTTCACAGCAGGAGAGATCCACTCAAGCCACAGCTACATGCACGTCCACATCCAGGCACAGAAAGTGCAAATGCAAGCCCAGCTCTGGTGCCTTCTGACTAATTTTTTTTTTCAGAGGTTAGCAAGGGAAATAAATATAGGTGCAAACAGCATTAGGGATGTTTTGGGTTTTTTTTTTTCTTTTTCCCAGGCAGTGCTGGAAGTGGGGGACGGGAGGAAGTAGAAAAATCAAATTTCACATTTAGCAAAGGCCGCATTTAAAGAAGGGGAACTTTTTGTAACTTTAACTAAAATGCCCAAAGATTGGAACGATAATGCAAGACAAGGTCTCCCTTTACTTCTTTTCTTTCTTCCTCTTTTTTTTCTTTTTTTTTTTCCCCAAGAATGACCTTTTACTATGTATTTATTTATATAGTTCATTTTACATGTGCCGGGCTCAGGGTGACTCGGGACATTCTTTCGTGGTTCCATCAGACACTTTTTGAAAGCTCTCCCCCTCTCTCCAGCCGCTTTCCTATTCTGCCTCCCCCTCTGCTTGTTTGGATATGCTCAAGCTCCTGTGTGTTTGGACTGGGGAAACGGAGCTGTTGTTTAGGAGTTATCTCCAGGGCTCAGATATCCGGCAGCTTTTTCCTAGGAAGTTAACTTTACACATAGAGAGAGAACGAGGAAAAAAAAAATAAAGAAAACGAGGGCTGTGTGTTTAAGACAGAAGGGCCAGGGGGGAGGAGGAGAAGAGAACAAGAGAGCTGCCCAAAAAAATCAAAATTCCAGCCTGTACTTCCCTCCCTAGAAAGCTTTTCCTCTTTTCTAACAAGGCTGTGAAAGATGAGAGAGACAAACCTTTTCCTCTACGGGAAAAGCGCGTACAGGAGGGCACGGAGAGGTTTCACATGCAGGAAGTTTGGCAGGCTAGAGGAGCAAAGCCACATCTTCCCCAAAACTCACACGGCCAGACAGAGTTCTTGCTGATGCCCCTCACAGCTCAGCCCTTCCTGGGAATGTACCCTGCAAATGCTTCCCAGAGCCAGAGGGAGCAAAGCTGATACGATTTTTTGGGTGTCTCACAGGTGAGGAGGCTGATCCCAACCTAAGAGCTGTGAGCACCTTCAAGGAGAACACAAATTAACCAGCCCTGTCCTGCCTGTGGGGTCAGGCCATGCTGGGCACAAGCCTCATCAAACTGGCCAGATCCATGGATCAGCTCAGAAATTCCACAGAGAGGAAAGAGCCACCTTTCCTCCACATTTTGAACAGCCCTTCCACATCTTTAATCCTGACAAAACCAAATGTGCCTCAATTCGAAACATTCAATAACTTCCCAAGCAGCGACCATAATTTTTTTTGCCCCCACTTGATATATTTTTCCCCTTGTGGTCTGCCTGATTATTTGCCAAATACACTTTAACACATTTATTAGCCATGCCCACAGCTTCCAGACCTTTTTGTGGCTTCCAGGGAAATGCATGAACAGATCGCTGGGGATGCTGTAACGCATTGCCTGGGCTTAGAACAGCCACCGGTCTTGTAACTATTATTTCAAACATTTACCCACTCATTTCATCTTCCTCCAGCTTCTGTAGCCTGGGCACATGCTTAGCTTTGCACTCTCACCATCCTCCCTTTGCACTCTCACCATCCTCTCTGCCTTGTGTCCTTGTGACACCATTTGAGACCCAGATGGCACAGACATAAATGACCACACCAGGTACCGGTAGCACCAGGAGCTGATGGTTCCAGCTCTTTGCAGGAGCAGTGACACCCCAGTGACACCTAGTATTCAGTTTGTGTCCCTTTTCCATGACACCACCAGCCAAGGGGGATAGAGACACATTTAAGAGTGGAGGGCAGAAGTTTGGAGAGCCCAGGAGAAATCCTGTATTCCTGATAATCTCTTTGGTCACTAGGAAATTATTATCCTGCCCTTAGACCCTGGAAAATGTCACTGTCCTCAGGTCACCGTGTGGAGTTGAAAACTCAGTTCTGGTTTGCAAGAAGCCCTGGACCTTCATTTTTAAACCTTTTTTTGCAGTTTGCAGTTTGCTAGAGTAGTTTGCTTTTCTACTTTTGCAGTTTGCCAAAGGATCAGACAACTGAGGCCCACAGCAGCTGGGACTATGTCTCCGAGCATCCCTCCCTCCCAGCCCTCGGACACAGTGGGAGCTGGCTGAGGTTCCCTGTCCATCCCGAGCTGCAGATAGGAAGCAAAAGCTGCAGAAAAAGAAGAATAAAATAGAGGGAGACTCACCAGTCTTCTCTTGGGTTTGATCAGGGGCCGGTTCTGCCCGTTCATTTTGTGGTAGAGTCCACAGGCGTTACACAAATAGTGCCCAGTGCCGTCCCTTCTCCACAGAGGGGTTGAGGTAGCCCCACAATTTACACACTCCCTGCCTTCTGGAAACAAGAGAGCACATGGGTCACTTAGGGAAAGCAGAGACAAAAGGGGCTGGGCAAAGACCCCCCCTCCCCAAAACAACCCAAAACCTCTCCAGAGACCCAGCCAGGCCGGACCCTGCCAGTGCCCCCCAAGCTCAGGTTTTCCAAAAAAGGGTCCAAAGCCATGACTGAACAATGTCCCTGGCACAGTCTGGTGGGCTCTGACCCTGTTCCTCTCCCCAGCACCACTCCACAGGCAGCATCAGGCCTGTGTCCCAGCAGCAGGGTAGAGGGATGGTGACAATGACAATCCGAGCACCATGGTGGCTCAAGAGGCTCCCCAAAGAAGTTCTCACTCCTCCTACAGGTCTTTTTGGGGGAGAAGGGGAGCTGACAATTTCCCCTCAATGCTTCTACAGCTCTGGTGACCCCAAGTTTCCATAGGCACCAGAAAAACCTTGGCAAGAAGCCTCCAGCCCTCTACACCCAAAATAATGGAGACAGAATTTAAGTCCATGAGCCCCTTTCTGATGTGTGTGAGGACCCCAGTGTCATTCCTTGAGCACTCTTCCAGCTCCTAGGAGGAGCCTGGAGGGCTCTTCCTCTGGCCTCAGTCAAACCACATCAAGGATCCCCCAAGTAATCACAGACAACCCCCAAAACACCTCCCCAGCTCCAGCCAATGCATAACAACTCTGACCATATCTGCTATTGATTAATTTGAAATTTAGCTTCCACCACCCAAAACTTTCAGAACTTTCTGGTTTCCCCACCACATCTGCAGCCTGATGGTCCACCCTGGCTATCTGGGATAGCAAACAGCCCCAAGCCTGCCTCCTAAGTTCTTTCCCTCCTGCTTTTTGGGCACCTCTCTGGCTATTGCAGTGGGATATCTCCCCCAGCTTGGGACGGCGCTGCCCCTGCCTCTCAGCTCCTTTCAGAGGGCTAAGGGAGTTTTTTTGTTGCGCCTTTGGTTTAGTGGGGGAAGTTTTTTTGTCCCTAACGCCGGTGGTGGCCCAGCTGAGAGCGGTGGCAGAGCCCAGCCGGGCAGAGCAGAGCAGAGCAGAGCAGAGCCAGCTCAGCACAGAGCCGGCTCCCCGCTGCCCCAGCCCGGGCTGCCTTCGAGCAAGAGGCATCCGTGCCCTAACCACAAACGGCAGCCGTTTCTCCAGAGCCTTCGCACCGAACCCCTCTTCTCTCACACCTCCCCAGCAGCAACCAAAAAAATACATTTGCGGCCGCTTCTCCCTCTTTTATCCTGCAGAATCACCCCCTTCCTCCTTTTTCTCCAGCTCTGACCCTCTTTGTCTGAGAGGTCCTAACTTGCTAAGATCGACTTCTAAAGAGAAGAAAAATAAAAGAGAGAGAAAGAAAGTAAAAAAAAAAAAAAAAAAAAAATAGGTGTTGCTGCCGGGGTTGGTTTATCACGAACCGCAGATGTCTTTCTAGAAGGTAAAGCAACAGAAAGTGGCAAAAGGAAAACAGGAGGGGAGGGTGGAGGGGGCCGAGGCGGTTTGAAAATGCCGCGCAGCCGGTGGGTGCCCCGGCGGGAGCTGCGGCTCGGCGGGCGTCGGGGGATGCTCAGCACCGCCCGGGGCCACAGCAACCCGCTCCGACCCGGGACACGGCACCCGCTCCGCGCTGGGGCCAGCCGGCCCCGCTAATACCCCGGTCATTCTGTTCCCCTCCGGTTAAACGGGGCGGCCGCTGCTGTTTGAGTCTCTGTCCCTCTCTTTTGTTTCACCCCATCTCTCTCTCTCTCTCCCGCTTTCATGTACAAAACATACAGGTCTGGGTTTTTTTGTCACTCTAACCGCATCCGGACTCTATTAAAGTTCCTGGCGCTGGATAAACAATGCAACTGTCGCGTGCAGCAGTCTGAAAATAATTGGATTAGCTCAAACATATCAGCTAAATAGAGACAGTCCCTGCTCAGACAGACAGAGTAAATGTCACCCTGGAAAAACCCTGAAAACTGATCTCATTCATGCCAGGCAACCCCGCAGCAGCCTCCTCGGAAAAACAAAATAGAGAAGAAAAAAAAAAAAAAAAAAGAAGAAAAATAAAAGGGGGTAAAAAGAGTTTTGACTAATCGCCCTTTCCTCTGCACACAAGCACACCGCCCTGGGCTCACTCCCACCCCTCCGTGCACAAGAAGGTCCAAGCCCGGCGTGTTCAGCCGTCGGGAGCCGGAGCTGCCTCGCAGCCCATCCCGCGGGGAGCGCACAGAGCTGGGGCCCCCAGGATAGGGGGGCACTTTGGGGACTGTCCTGTGGGTGATCCAAACCCCCCGGCCCGGAGCCGGCCGGGGCCGGGGCTGCGTGGGCCAAGTCCCCGCAGCGCCCCGGGGAAAACCCGCCCCGCATCCCCGGGCGCCGCATGGGAAGAGGCCCTGGGAAGAGCGGGCGGGGGAGGTTGGCCGGGATTTGGCACCATTATTAAAATACAGGGAGATCGCTAATGCTGCGGTTCCCTCGGTTTCGCTGCGTCCCCGGGCGCCGCAGCTGAGCGCACCGTGGGCGCTGCAAGGGCCGGGTCTGGAGCCCCGCGGCACCGGGGGGGTGGTTCGGGTTCCTGGGCCTGGTTCCATCCCCAGCCAGGCTTGCACGAGGGGGAATTTGGTTATAAAGCTAGCAGAGCAACCTGTGGGGAAGGTGAAGCGTCGTGTGTGTCCCCCACGAGGGTTCAGCCCCTGCTGCTCATCACAGGGATGCTCGAGCACATGTTGTCCCTGCGAGAGGGGACAGCGAGGGCTCAGCCCCATTTCTCTGCCCCATTCCTCTGCCCCCCACTTTTCCCTCCCTCAGCTTCCTCTCCCGAGCAACGGGGATGAAGAAGCCAAAAGCCCTACCTGTGCTTGACCGTGCTTTTGGTCGCGATTTACACCCAAAGCCGGTTGGCGATCCTCCTAAGAGGCTGCTGGGGGGGAAAAGTCCAGAGCCGTATTCTGGGACATACGGTGGGTAGGTAGTGATGGGGTGGTGAGCGGAGGAGGTGGCTCCTCCTAAAGAGGCCATGCTGCTCCGAGAGTGAGAGGACTCCAGCTTCATGGTATCGGCCAGGGACACCTGGTATTTGATGCATTCCTTCTCGTCCTGCCGGGTGGAGCCGGTGGAGCCGGGCGTGGAGATGGACGGATCCGGGGACACATCTTTAGGAGGGGTCGGCGGGAAGGTGAAAAGGTGCGGGCTGGAGTGGCCGGCGGACAAAGTGGAAGAGGAGGCGGGCGGGTAGACGGAAAGGGGTCCCGGTGAGCTGTGGTGGATGGAGGTCTTGGAGAAGGGGCTGAGGTTCCAGGGGGACGCGCTGTGGTGGCTGCTCAGCGCCTTGCTGCCGTCCAGCCAGGGCAGCGAGCCGTGCAGCAGCGGGGGGCGGCACACCTGGCTCCCTGCTCGGAGAGAAGCACGGACACACGTCGGTCACATCCCTCTGCCACCCCGGCAAAGCCCCCGTGGGGTCCCGGGACGTGCTCATCCCACCGCCACCCCTCGTCCTTCCCAAAGAGCTCAGCACGCGAGGGAAGTTACATCTGATGAGAGACCCCGCTCCTCATTAAAAATTAAATTTTAAAAGCTGCAAGAGCACGGAGTGGCAGCTCCGGTCCTGCTGGGGAGCGGGTTTTGGGGTCGAGACCCTCCAAGGAGGGTGCCAGCCCTGTGACACCGGATTTGTGAGCTCTGCTTCACTCTCGCCGTTTTCCAGGCAATCCCACGAAGACTTTGGAGCAAAGATCCTGCGTGAAATTGCCAAGTCCCGATTGCAGAAATATTTTTTTTTTTGTCTTAGCTGGAAAATGATTTCCCGAACAGAGCAGTGAGCTATAAACCCTGGGAATTGTCTGGTCAAACGAAGACCAGAAAATGCCCACAGACACGATAATGACCTTTGCAACAGGGCTGATAAACTTTGCAAACCACTCAATTTGTCTTTTCTTCTTCCACGAGACTGCACAGAAATGTTAGAGGGCTTTTTCGCTATGGTATGGCACACGCTGAGGGTACCAATTGCCTCAAAATAAACGCTCCAAACCCTTTTTGTGACAAGGGACACTTCATTTGTCTTTTAAAATACAGACCTGGACTTTGTGGGGAAAAAACAATCCGCTAGATTTCTGCAGTGAAATCTTTTTCCCTTTGGTTATAAATGTTCCTAAGGGCTCGTACCTAATATTTCAAATTATTTTCGGCCCTTGCAAATACAAACAAATAGAAAAATCCATCCTAAGAATTAAATCCATCCAAACCCACAGCAACTTGAGCGAATGGCTGGAAGATGGAAAACACAGTTATTCAATTGGAAGGGAGCAAGTTTGTGTCTGATGACAAAGCCCTGGAAAGTCTCTGACACCCAGAGATCCTTAACCTCTGTGGGCATTGTGATAAGTGCATAGAGAGTGCTGAACATACAGGAGAGATGCAAACTCGGATGTATGGAGCCACAGATAGTTACAGGCTGGACACACATGTTTGCATGGGGAGATCCTGAGTGCCTAGAAAAGCTCCAAACTGGTTTTCACCATACCAGGCACTCGTGAACAATACTGAAAGTCGCTGCTCAAAAGGAAGGGAAGGTGGGTTATACGAATAGAAAGGGTCAAGATTCATTATCTTCCCCAGGAAGTAGCATAGTAAATAATATTCAGGCTAGATCAGAGAGACCGCATTTCCACTTTCTGCTGATATATTGGGAAAAAAAAAAGAAATGAAAAGGGAAGAAAAGAAAGAAAGGACAAAGGCTGCTGATCCTTAAAAATAATTGTTTTAAAGGGACTAATGGCAGAACAATGCAGTTACTGAGCGGAGCCTAATGCAGGCTCAACTCAACAAGTTGCTGAGGGCTGGGAGCAGCCTCCTGAGCCCGCTCGGCTCCCTCTCACTCCGCTCATCCCATTTTCTCCACGATTTTGGGGTTATTTCCACTGCAAACCTCGGGGATTTAGATTTTGCCATGACAGAGAGCACTGTCCGGCTTCACAAACCATCTTCTGTTCTTTTCCCTCCTTTTTTTTTTCCCCTTTTTTTTGTATTTCTTTCCTTATTTTTTAAACCATCCAGGTAAACTCTAGTTGTAAATACTGAACCTCTCCACTTCTCCATAAAGGATGGCACCAAAGTGCTCATCCCTCCGTGGACCTGGGCCCCACCGACCCCAGGTATTTCACCTCCTTTCTGAGAGCTGTGACCCAGGAACAAGATTCACATTGCGGATCATTACCTTCCTGCAGGACCCTCAGGACAACACACCGGCTCTGATTCCTAATTACACCACGGGCTATATTTTTTTTTTTAAGTTTCTTTCTTATTTTAAACCCACGCCACGGTGCTGCCCTGGGTATGCGTGCAAAACTTTCGTCCCAAGCCTAACGAGCTCACCAAGTGCGAATTAAATAGCCCAAGCGTGAGGACAGCGGGGTCATTTTCACACCCCTGCTCTCCAGCTTGCTTTGCTTCCCCAGAGCAGCTTAATCGTGCAAAAACTAAACACAGTATGAAAACACTAACTGTTAGCCTAATTAAAGAGAGGGGAGAGAAACCAGAGCGGAAGAGAAGGGGGCGAGAGGAAGAAATGAAGAGGAAGATGAAAAAGAAAGAAATAGAAGGGAGGCGAGCAGGAGGGAAAGGAGAGAGAGAGGGAAGAGGGATGTGAGATAAAGAGAGGATGAAAGAGAGAAAGAGAGAGCTAGAAAGAAAGAAAGAAGGGAGGAAAGAAGGAAGGAAAGGAGGAAAGAAAAAAAGAAGGAGGGGAAGAAGGGAAGAGGGGAAGAGAGAGAGAAAGAGAGAAAGAGAGAAAGAGAGAAAGAGAGAAGGGAAGAGGGGAAGAGAGAGAGAAAGAGAGAAAGAGAGAAAGAGAGAAAGAGAGAAAGAGAGAAAGAGAGAAAGAAAGAAAGAAAGAAAGAAAGAAAGAAAGAAAGAAAGAAAGAAAATATATTAAAAAGAAAGAAAATATTAAAAAAAAAAAAAGAAAGAAAGTGAAAGAAAAAAAGAAAGAAAGGAAGGAAGCCTGAATTTTTATTTATTTCCAATAAGCCAACCCCAAAATCCACTCGTGACGCAGCTTCCCCGCCGGCAGGACAGGGTCTGCCCGACAGCGGGGGGGGCTCGGCGGGACGGACAGACGGACACTCACCGTGGTGGGCCGTGGGGTACCGCTGCACCGTGGCTCTCACGGAGTTGCCGTAGTACGGCGGGACGGGGTTGCCTTGTCCGTCGATATTAAAAAGTACATCCACCTCCTCGGCGAGAGGATACTGCGTGGGGTCCATGTAGGTATGGCCAAGCGAGGGGTGATGCGAGTCCGGGTGCTGCCCATTGAGCACGGCCGGGTGGTGGTGGCTCACCCACCGCGGCTGGTCCGTGGAGACCTCCATCTTCTGCTCTTCCTCCTCGTCCTCCTCCTCCTCGTCCTCAGCAAGGCGCGGAGGGCTTCTGGAGATCGGAGCGGGAGACGCCGCCGGAGTTGTGCAGCAGGGCGGGGGAAAAGCGCCCGGCGAGTTCGGGGATGTTTCTGGTTAGGTTTGGTTTAAAGGCGTGGAGGGAGAGTTGGGGGTATGGTGATAAACGATCGATTCCAAAAAAAAAAAAAAAAAAAAAAATTAAAAAAAAGTGGGGGGAAATAATAAAATAAAAAGGGAGGGGGAAAAAAGGGAAAACAAAAAAAAAGTCTCGGGGGAAAAATTTCTCTACGAAGCGAGATCCCCTCGTTTCTTCCGCTCTGTTGCAGATGTTTCTCTTCTTTGATCACCTGTAACGAGAAAGAGGAAAGGGAAGGAGCAGAGAGAGAGAGAGAGAGAGAGGGAGAGGCAGAGGCAGGGAGAGAAACGTACTTGAGAAGTTCTGAACTTTAGCACCTGACTTTTTAGGCAGGAGCAAACCCATCCCATCCCTCGGCAGCCATCCCTGGGAAGCGCCTGCTCTGCCCTGGACCCACCTCTCCCTCCCAGCGCCTCTTTCTCTTTCGCTCTCTCCGAGCTCGGAGCGCAGCCCAGCAGCTCCCACCGCGTTCCTACCGCCCAGCTCTTACTTTTCCTTGGTTTTAGGGGGTTATTTTGGCTTTTCTTTTTCCCTTTTTTTTATTTTTTTTTTGGTCCCCGCGGTTGTTTGTTTATTGTTTTATTTGTTCCATTTGCACCTGAGAAGCTCCAGCGGCTTAAGCCGGTGAGAACTTGTGCCATTCGCTGCTGCGCAGCCCAGAGTCACTCTGATTGCTCATTAATTATTATGCAACCGAGAAAGGGGGGAACGGGGGGAAAAGAGAAGGGAAGGAAGGGGTAAAGAGACGGGAGAAGAGAGTGGGGGGTGAAAGGAAGGAGCGAGGAAAAAAGGAGGGTGGGGAGAGGGAGGAAAAAAGAAAAATTTAAAAAGCGACAAGTTGCTCAAGAAATTCCGAACAAACCTTGCTGGAGAAGCAGTATGTGACCCAGGAGGGATGAAGCTGAAAGTGCTTGATCAGATCAGATTGTGCTCGCTCGCACTATTTTTTTTTCCCTACTTTTTTTCCTCCTCTCTCTCTCTCTCTCTCCCTCTCCTTTTTTTTTAATCTTTTTTTCCCCCTTTCTTCCCTTTCTTTCTTTCTTTCTTTCTTTTTTTTTTTTTTTTTTTTTTTTACAGGGAAGGCATTCTTTCTGAAAGGAGCAGGATGGCGCCAGCCGGCTCAGTGCTTACAGACAGCTGTGGCGAGACGCAACTTAAGGAGGTTCCAGTGTCATAAGCCCGGGGGAGGCGGAGCCTGAGGAGGGGACCGGCTCCGGCCGCCCCCGCGCTGCCCCCGCGGGAACCCCCCGGCAACAAACTCCTCTCCATGTCCCCTACACACACACACTCCTTTTTTTAAATTTTTTTCTTTTTCATTTTCTACTTTTTTTTTTTTTTTAAGGGGGAAATTAAGTTTTCCCGCTGTCCCGCTGGAGCTCTGAGAGCGGCCAGCCCGGAGTGATGGTGCGTGGAGGGGACGGGTTGGATTCTCGGGCGGGCATCCCGGGGATGGCAGCGGCTGGGAGCCCCCCGGGACGGGGATGTGCGGGCAGGTGCGGGAGCGGGGGCTGCTCGCTGGAATAAAGCGGCGTGCTCCAGCGGCGCGGCTCAGAAGGGATTTAATGATTGTTGTGTTGAAGGATACAAGCGCACAGCAGCGGCCAAGTTTGTACAATCGATCTGGGGGTTTTAGGGAGTTTCTAAGGGTTTTTTTCTCCCTTTTTCCCCCTTCTTGCCCCGCTGGGGACCCGGGAGAGCCGAGCGGGGCCGGCACCGACGGGACCCCCGGGCGCCGCGCCCGGCCCCGCCCCCCCGCCGGCTCGGCCAATGGGCGGCCAGCAGGAACTGGGGCGCCGGGCTCGGGAGGAGCTGATTGGCTGAGAGCCCGCGCCCCGCCGGCCCCCGGCGGCGCTGATTGGCTGCGGGCCCGCGGCAGCGGCGGGCGCTGCGTTGAGCCAGGGCATCCCCTAGCGGCACCCCGGGGTCATCCCGGCGGGAACCGACCCGGACAGACAGACAGGGGGACAGACAGGGGGACAGGGAGAGAGCAGGGGGAAAGGGAGAACCAGGAACAGAGGGTGGGTAGAGAGAGGGCGAGACACAAAAGGCGTGGAGAGGATAGACGGGGGAAAAAGGGAAGAAAGAAAGAGAGAGAAAAAGAGAGAGAGAGAATAAGAGAATGAGAGGAAAGAAAGAGAGAAAGAAAGAGAGAAAGAGAGAGAGAGAGAGAAAGAAAGAAAGAAAGAAAGAAAGAAAGAAAGAAAGAAAGAAAGAAAGAAAGAAAGAAAGAAAGAAAAGGATATGATGATGGAGAAGGGAATAAAAGGATAATAGCACTAGAAGCAGTCACTCACTGCGTGCCCCGCACGCCGCCCAGAGCGCGTCAGCCCCGGTGTGGGAGGAAGCGGCTCCCGGGGTTTTTATCCCGGGGGGTCCCGTTAAATCCCGAGGCTCCGCAGCGCCGGGGCCGCCTCCGGTCAGCGGGGCCGGGATGGGCTCAGCTGCGGCCGGGAGCGGGATCCGCTCCTCTAGGGCCAGCGGAGCCAAGAGATGGATGGATGGATGGATGGATGGATGGATGGATGGATGGATGGATGGATGGAATCCTCGAGGACGCCCGTTTTAAGCCCGAGTTTCAGCCCCCGGTGCAGCCCATCGCCGTTGGGCGCGGGGACAGAGCTTTCACACATATGTGGCACGCACATATATATATATATATATATATATATATATATATATATATATATATATATATATATATATTTTAAAAATAAGCCGGCCAGGACTGCTGTAAGAGCCCTGAACCAGTCCCGCGTTAGCACGGACGAGCCGGGAAGGGGGCGGCACAGGTCTCCCCCACCCAGAAGCGCCCGGGGACCGGGCTCGGTGCTTCCCCGGGTTCCCCCGGAACCCCTTCCCGGTGGGAAGCGCTCCCGCAGCCCATCAGGGCGAGGGGCAGAGGGGGGAATGCTCACGGCCCTCCCCGAGCCGGGGGCTCCCACCCGCTCCGGGACAGCTCGTGTTTCCTCCGTCCCATCGCAGGAGTCGCTCTGCCCGCAGGGGTTTTATTTCCCCTCCTTTCCGTACTCCAGGAATTGGGGGAGTAGAAGGAGGAAGCGGAGAACGGCGCGGTCTGTCTGTCTGTCTGTCTGTCTGTCCTGACGCACTTTCCGGGGCGCCCCAGCACCAGGGTGGTCTCCTGCCCACCCCTCCTCCTCCGGGAACGGGGGCTTCCTTGGAGAGGAGGAGGAAGGTGAAGAGGAGAACAGCGCTCAGGAGAACAAACTTTCCTCTTCCCGCCATCCCCCTCCCCAACTTTGGGCATTTTAGTGGGAATTTGCCTCTTCATCCCCGCTCCCCACATTTCCTCATCCTGCGGGCCAGAGGGGTTTCCGACACTTTGGAAAAGTCACTTTGTGTTTTTTAACATTGAGAGGGGGCTTAATTTGTGCAGGTGAGCTGAGATTCCCACCCCCCGCTCCCTCCGGCGCTTACAGCCCTGAGACCTACAGCCGTGGGATCGCAGGAGGGGAATTTCCATCCAAAGGTCACAAAATTGCTAAACCACTTTAAAACGTGCCTCCAGCCCTGTCCGGAGGGAGTGAGGAAATCGCTTTCCTTCAGCTGTTTGGAGGGCAGGGAATTGTTAATGCAAAATGAAATGAATAAAGTAAAAAGAAAAGAGTAAAATAAAATAATGTGATAAATCAGCAGCTACACCAAGTCTCATCAGTGGCAGGAGGGAGAAGAAATGGGGACAGCCCTGAGGGCTCCGTCCTGCCCCGGCTGCGGGAGGAGGACACCCGCTCTCAAATCCACTTTGCTTAGGCTGTCCTTTTATTTTCAACCCTTCCTCGATAGATTCGATCTCCCTATCCCCATCCCAGCCGGGAGGAAGCCGTGGTGGGGAGTGCAAAAACACCCCCTACAAAAAAAAAAAATTCAAAAAAAAGGAATATTAAAAAAATAAAAAGAGCAAACCCATCATTTTTCATCATTTTTTCCCTGTTTTTTCATCGGGTTATCCCGTGATGCCGGGGGTTTTGAGAGGAGCGCTGGCCTTGACCGTCCTTTTCCCAGGCTGTGGCTGCAGATCCATCACGTCGCCCCCCCGGCAGCCCCCAGCGGGGTCTGCAGTGACAGCCCGGCGTTAATAGGAGCCCATTGTTGCAGCAATTAGCCCCGAGCTCGCCACCAGCCGCCAGATAAGGGTCGGGGGCTCGGGGGTTAATTCTGCCGGGGGGAGGGGGCTGCGGGGCTCGGCATCCCCCCGTGCCGGGGCAGGGATGGGAGCAATGGGGACAACTCTGAAAGGTCACGAGGAAACGCTTTGGACACTTTATTTGTCAGCTAGAGACCCAAAAATAGGGAAATTCAGGAAAAAAAAACCCAAAACCAAAAAACACCAGATAAACTCAATAACAACACAACCCCAAACTTGGCGGGATGGGGCGGCCCCCCAGCCTAACCCGCTCCCCTAAAAATGACCGGTGAAAGGGCACTAAAGCTGCCACCCTTTTGGGGGTTTTTGGGGTTGTTTTAAATCTCCCTCGTGTCCTGCTGTTAACGTGGGCACAGCAAAGGTTCTGGGGCCGGACCCGGGGCCAGCGGCTCCTCCGGTGCCCGGGGCCGCCAGTGGCACCTCGGGGCGGGGACAGGCGGCGTCCCCTGCTCCCCCCTCTCCTTTAGCCCCCTTTAAACGACAATTGACTGAAAGGGGATTAAGTTACGTTTGTCGGGCTGGGCTTTTTTTTTTTCTTTTTTTTTTTTTTTTCCTTCTATCCAGGGTACCAGAATAGTACAGGTAAAGCTGTACAAACAGCCGGGAGCGAGGAATCGGGGGGTTATGGAGAGGACACGGCCCAGGGCAGAGAGCTCCGAAGATTATTACAATTTT